TTCAGATATCACAAACTAAATTAATGATGGCCTCAAATATGGGTTGTTTATATGCAGTGAGGTGTGGTTGTCCACATGCAGTGAGGTATGGTTGTCCACATGCAGTGAGGTGGTTGTTCATATGCAGGAGGTATGGTTGTCCTATGTAGTGAGGTGTGATTGTCCACAAGCAGTAGTGAGGTGTTTCTAGATGAGAAAAGCCTGCAAAACAAGGAGCTTCTAAGCCTTTTGATATTTAAAGGAGAAGAACAGATCTAGGTTGTTAGAGAATGCCCTAGTTAAATTGTGCTGCTTTGGGTAAAGTAATGTGTTAATTAAAAGGGAGAAATTCTTTGAATATCCTCTGTGTATTGCAGACACCAGTTGTCCATCCTATTATTCTATGTCATAGTTTTTAATAAAATATTATAATCTTTAGGAAAAATTAGTTCAGCATTTTGGCTATAAAGACACAGTATTATCACATTTTACTTGTTTATAAGGAAATTCTGTGGGTGAAAAACCTATTAAAATATACTTGCCCCATAACATATAGACTATACACATTAGAAACAAAAATGTCTCCAAGATAAGAGTTAGCAACTGGAAAAGAATTAAGTCTCTTCTCTCATTTCCTCCCTCCTCTGTTCCCTCACTTTCTCTCCCTACTTCTTTATCTTGATTACTAGGCTCTTACTAAATTCTCTGACACTGATTTTGATGCCTATATTTGGTTTCTAACATTCAACTATTTTAATGTCCTCCTAACATTTCCTTCCTAAAATTCTTCTCATGGACTTCCTCTCTGGGATAATTTTCACTAGGCTCCAGTGAGACCTTGGGATAGCAGCAGATTTCTGAAACCCTTCACTCTTGGTTCCGGATAGAACCATGGATTTATGTTGCCCCTCTCTCGGGTTTTGTGGGTATCTTATCCTGTTGGCTGATCTCTAATGGCTCCTCTCTTTCAGCAGTGTGAACAGTGTAGTAAGCTTCTGTCAAATAGGCCCCTCAAGTAAACCATTGGTTCTACCTTGAGGAGAAATACAATGACAAATTCTGTTGGTCCATTGTCATAGCCACACATTGAGACGACATCTGTTGTGGTCCAACCTCAATGGGGTTTGCACACTCCAGGGTAGGGGCATGTGGATCGGGAAAAAAAAAATAGGTAGGAGGAATAGAGCTATGAAAGAAAAACAGAGACGTAGTATAGAACCAGGAGGGCTATCCAGTGAACACTGCATGCTGAATATGCCTACATTTATTTTCCATATGCTTATATACCCCAATCCAAAAAGGGCGGGGTGGGGCGAGACAAAAGAATGCTTTGACATGACACTGAGGACAAACAGAACTTGCTTCGCTACTAAAGACATCAAGCCATTATTTCCTGAGTTCAGCATTCTGATGTTTTAGGCAGGAGATGCAGTGACTACACCGTAGACCAAGTAGCCTATAGGTAGTCACTCCCCGAGTCAAACCTCCTTTCTTAAAAATTGAGGAGCAGGAATAGACTTGAATTCTCTGACCTTAGGTCAAGGTGGAGCAGACCCACTTCTGTGGGCCCCCACAGTCCATGTGCTTAAATATTACTTGAAAGACACAGAGAAGAAAAGTATATTTATTAAAGGCTTTACATTAAGTCATTTTCACTTGGGAGGGGAGTTGTTGGATTTGATTCGTTTCCGTTTTCCCTTCCTGGATCTTCCGTTCCTAACCTGGGACTACGTGGCCCAGTGTACAGGTGGTTTTGCTGCTGGTTGTGGAGTGGCATGAAAGAAGCAACCACTGTGATTATAGAGGATTCAAGTTCATGAAGAGCATTAGGACAGTAATCCTCCAATCCAGATGGCTTCTAGTAAAAAAGGCAGCAGCATACTCGAATACCTTCCTTAACATTGATTGTCAATTAATGTGACTTGAACGTTCATGCTTTTCCTGTCTTCTGTCATTGGTGCAGCGTAGAGCCTCTGAGGAGACAGGACAGCCTCTCATCACTGAGGTCTCAGACAAAAATCCCTCAAATGGCTAAGCCTCTTCCTGACTGCTTAGTGTATGCACACCAAATCACTCCTTGTTCTACATTCATCCCTGTCCTTACTGAAAAGTTATCCACCAACACAATAGTTCAAATCAGACCAAATCAAATCGAATTAGATAAAGCCCAGGTTTAATGGATACCAACGCTCCCCGGGGGGGCCTTCCAGCCCCACAGAGAGGAGACAGGGATGGGGTGGGGGGACTGGAGAAGCACATGTTTGTTTTCTGGGGGACAGAGGTAGAGTCTGGACTGAGGCAACTCCTAGGGGAGGGGGCTTGAAACTCAAGCATTTCAGACTCTTTGGGTATATAGATGCCAGAAGCTGGGGTGAGGCTTCCATCTAAACATTTCAGACTTTCGGTATATGGATGTCAGGGGCTGGGATGAAGCCTGAACTCAAACACTTATCCTTTTTACTTTATTGATTTTTATTGAGCTCTACATTTTTCTCTGCTCCCCTCCCCAACAATCCAATGGCTTTCAGCAGTTGTTATCCTATTTCATTAGCATTTAAATGTTTTTAAAGTTAAAGTTAGTAGCCGGGCAATGGTGGCACATACCTTTAATCCCAGGACTCAGGAGGCCCAGTTTGAGGTCAACCTGGTCTACAAGAGAGAGTTCCAGGATAGGCTTTAAAGCTATAACAAAACCCTGTCTCAAAAACAAACAAACAAACAAACAAACAACAACAAAAATTAGTAAAGCGTTTACGCAGTCTATCTCTAGGAGGTCCTCCTATCCCCCTTCTGTTTAACAAGCATCTCCTTTGAAGTGTGATTAGATCCTTTAACAATTGCTTGTCCTGTAGGATTTATACACGGTATCCCTGTAACATGTTCGATGTTGTAACCTGAAAAAAAAAGGTTTCCTTTTATTGGAAACATAAGCTGGGGCATTATCAGTTTTAATTTGTATCGGTATGCTCATTACTGCCATTGTTTCTAATAAATGTGTAATTATAGAATCTGCCCTCTTAGTACTTAAGGCAGATGCCCAGTGAAATCCAGAACATATATCAATGGTAAGATGAATATATTTTAATTTTCCAAATTCTGCTAAATGAAATTCATCCATTTGCCAAATTTCATTCCTTTGTGTACCTTTAGGATTAGTTCCTGCAGGTAAAGGAACTTGATTATACAAAGAACAAGCAGGACTGGTTTTTTATTATTTCCTTAGTTTGTTGCCAAGTAGTGGGAATTTTTTTCTTTAAGCCCTTACTACTAACATGGTGTTTCTTATGAAATTCTGAGACTTCCAGTGATTCCCATAATAACTGATCCATCTCCTCATTTCCTTTTGCTAAAAGTCCAGGCAACGCAGTATGGGATTGAATATGGGTAATAGAAAGTGAGCAATTCCTCTCTTGAATTGCCTGTTGTAATTCAATTCTGAATTATCAGGAATAAGTTCAGCGGTTTCTATATGCAACACAACCCTTCCTGCATACTGAGAATCAGTAATTATATTTAGAGATTCATTAAAGTCTAATAAAACTATCAAAATGGTATATAATTCAGAGATGCCTCTGGGAAGCAGAAGATGGATTGGGGCTAGGTGCTAGCACTCTGGGGCCAGACCAGGTGTAGCCCAGTGGGAATTCTCCCACACCTACCTCATAAAGCTCTCGGATGAATGAGGGATGGAGGCACTAAATAGGTAAGCACCAATAGCCGTGCAGGAATGGTGGTGCCAGGCATAAAGGAAACCCTGGGGGCTCTGAGGACAGACACATGGAGGCCACTCTGTCTTAGGCTTGGGGAAAGTCTCAAAAGAAGCATTTTGAGTTGGAATAAAAAAATGACCACGTGCTAGCTAGGGGTAATGGCTGTCTCTGTTGTCAGCTTGACACACAGAGAAGAGGGAACTCTACCGAGAAACTGCTTCCATTCGATTGGCCTGTAGGCACAGCTGTGGGATCTTTTCTTGCTTGATAATTGACTTGGGAGGGCCGCCCACCATGGACTGCATAATCCCTAGGCGAGTGGACCTGGGCTCTGGAAGACAGGTAGCTAAGCAAGCTGGTAACACTTGCTGAAATGGCTTAAGTATACTTGGCTTACAGATAGTTGTAAGTAGTTTGTGTGACATGAAGCTTGAATATTGTTTTATTTCCTAGATATGAGTGGGAAAAAAGAACAATAGAAAATAAACTTACGCATATTAAATATTGTAGGCTAAAGTTTCAAATTTGGTCATTCTGGTCTAATCTACAGAACTGAAGACTATAATCAAAGCCGTCCAGAAGCACGGGAACTGGGTGTCAGGATTTAAATGCCACTAACTAGACTCTCTTATCATGACCTAAATCCTTTAAAACATCTCACTAGAGGGAGCTGAAGAAACAGCTCAGTAGTTAAGAGCACTACTCATTGATCCACTGAAGGACATAGTACCTATATTAGGCAGTTTTTTTGCCCTCCTCTGACCTCCATGGGCATTGTACTCATCTGTACAAACACACATATATAATTAAAAATGAAAATAAAATCTTATTTTAAAAAAAAAAAGTCATTGAGGGCTTTCAACACTTTCTCGTTATTGTGTCCGAAATGATCTTTCTGGCCCAAAGCAGAAAAGTGTAATTAAATTGACAAGTGATTGGCACTCTTCTTTTTCAAAAATTTTTTTTATTATCTATTCATTTATTATTTCTGTATATGTATTTGGATGTGCTTGGGTGAGTTTATGTGTACTGTGTACTTATAGGAGCTGTCAGATGCCAGAAGAAAGCATGAGTTCCCCTAGAACTGGAGTTACGGGGGGTCGTGAGGCACGGTGTGAGTCCTGGGGGCCAACCCCAGGTCCTCCGCAAGAGCAGCAAGCACTCTCAGCCACAGAGTGATCTCTCCGACCACACTGGCTGCTTTTCGGATATACTCACCGGGATCTGGTTCAGTTGACATCTCTGACTTTGGACCAATTGCCAAATCGAGAAAGGAAAATACACGCTTGATGAGTCTGTTTCCCTCCACAGTTGTAAACCAGGATGGCCAACCCCTCATTGAAGGGAAACTCAAAGAGAAACAGGTGAGATGGAAGCTCATCAAGAGGTGGAAAACTCGCTACTTCACACTGGCCGGAAACCAGCTTCTGTTTCAGAAAGGGAAATCTGTGAGTTTTTAACACATTTTTAAAATTGAATTGTTTTTCTTTCCTTCAAAACCCACCAAAATCCTATAGATAGATAATGTGCTAAGTGGGGTTTCTATTGCTGTGAAGAGACACCATGACCACGTCAATTCTTTTTTTTTTTTTTTGATAATTTATTTTTACCTTTATGTGTATTGGTGTGCATGTATGTCTTTTGAGGGTGTCAGATCTCAGAGCTACAGACAGTTGTGAGCTGCCATGTGGGTGCTGGGAATTGAATTTGGCTCCCCTAAGGAGAACAGCCAGTTCTCTTAACCACTGAGCTATCTCTCCAGCCTGACCACACCAACACTTATAAGGAAACATGGAATTGGGGTGTCTTACAGTTAAGAGGTTAGTCCACTGTCATCATGTCGGGGAGCATGGTGGCATGCAGGCAGACATGGTGCTTAGAGTTCTACCTCTGAATCAGCAGACAGCAGAAAGAGCATACCTCCTCCAACAAGGTCACACCTCCTCTAACGAGGCCACACCTCCTCATCCTGCCACTCCCTATGAAACTACGAGGGCCACCGTCATTCAAACCACCACAGATGACTATTTGAATCACAGTGGAGTCTCAGGAGTCCACACTCAGGCTCTCGGGTATCTTACCTGCTGAGTGCTTCCTACTGAAGCCTATCTTAAAATCTTTATTCAACACAACTCTACATCAGAGTGGCTAGGCCTGCAATTCTTTGTTCTATGGAAGCCATGAGTTCCAGTTGGGCCTGATTCAGGGTCTCTAAGAGATTAGAAAAATCGCCAAGGCTGCTGAGGGTGACAGTAAACTGTGCTCCTGCCTCTGTTTCCCCAGACACTGACACCTTGGGAGGAGATGTTGAGATAGGCTCTTATTATATAGCATTGACTGGCCTTGAACTTGGGGTGATGATCATCTTGCTTCTGCCTCCCGAGTGCTAGGATGTGCCACCCCACACAGGTACCAGTGTGTGGCAGCGGTAATGGTGGTGGTGGTGATGGTGCTGGTGATGGCGGTGGTGGTGGTAGTAGTGATAATAGTAGTAATATTCTTGAGGGACGGTCTCACTATGTAGCCCTGACTGGCCTCAAACTCAAGAGTTCTGCCTGTTTAGACAAAGCATGCCATTATACTTACATACTGAAAAGTTCATTAGGGTAACACAGATTGCCCCTCCTCTGTCTTTTGTTCTACGGTGTGTGGATGGAGCAATGCCACCCACCGTAGTGGGGGCAGATCATTTTTACCACTGACCCACCCACAGTGGTGGGGACATATCATTCCTACCGCTGACTCAAGTGTTGATCTCTTCTGGAAACACAAAGGAGCACTCAGAATCAGGTTTTCACAGCTCTTTGGAAACCCATTAGCTCAGTCAGTTTGCCCTATATCTCTAACCATCACATAAACTAAACTATTGCCTTATTAATAAATTAAAGGGGTTAGAGTACTTACAAATTAACGATTCTCTGTGGATAAATGCACTATATCTTTAGAATTCTCACTATAGACATTACTGGAATATTTTACTTGGTAAGAGTCAACCATAGCACATCTGAATTATGATGAATTCCGAGCAAGTGTTGCTTTAACAAGACCTCCCTCAAATATTTTACTTAATTTAAGAAAGGTATCTTTTGTGATACTTTGACGTTATGTGAGTTTCTCAGTCTGTGCCATACATACGTGGCTTTTCTCTGGCTAAAAAGCTTTTCAGGATGTAACTATGACAGCATGATCAATTTAAACAGTTAGTTGGTCTTTAAAGAGGAAGAAGGGATTTTTTTGGCATAAATTCACATTGAAGCATTTTTAGGTGTTTAAAATGGCCATCTAAATTTCCTACCTTTACTCAAGAACTCAGGAATAGACATGAAAACACAATGTTTCTCAGACCCCATAAGACAAAAGCAGGATTAGTCTAGGAGACTATTCCCAACTACTCAAATAATGATCTAAAATACTTCTTAACTCAGTTTTGAACTTTTCCCTAAATTCTAAAGAATAAGCTATTTGATGATTAGCTAACTTGTTTGACATCTTTATCAGGGATTAACAGGTTAGCACTGTAGAAATCTGGCAGAACATGTGTATCAAATAGTGGGAAACAATATCCAACAAAATACCTCTGATCACCACCAGTGACCCACCAGGACTGGCAACCCTGCTGAAATTCAACCACAGCCTTCCTGGCTGGCTTTTATAGAGATGTTTGAGAACAGAGGCTAAAGAGGCTGTAGGACATTTTTAACGTTGTTATGGTCTTAATTTCCACAAGTCGGCTAGGCAGCAGTGTTCTCTCTTCGTTCCTGTCTAAGTGGACCAGCTGTTCCCCTTACATTATTACTCCAGGAACTCTCTCTTCTCCATCGGTTATGGTGTATCAATTTTTATGCAATAGACTGGCCTCAATACAATTTATTATCATCAGATACTTACCATAAACCAATTTAGGCTAAGAAAGTGTATAGTGCGGATATTTTAAAATTTTGTCCTGTGTAGTCCCTGTAGTAATAACTTGAAATTTTTAAATGCAATCAACACATTTATCCTAAGTTTAAATAGTTATAATTTTTGTTGAGTTATAAAAATTGACATTTTAAAATAAAAAGAATATGTTTTCCCTTTAAATGTAATTCTAGAATAAAGTAAAATACAATAATGCTTAAATTCAATATCATCCATCTTTTTTTAAAAGGCATAGTTAAAGTCTTTAGTGGGGATATTTGCATTGCTTCTGTTTCCCTTGCACTCATATTTCTATTTTACCTCTTCCTACTTATTTATCTCAATTGCCCTACCATTTTTAAGAATTCTTTTACTTTTAATTCTTTGTGTCTGTGTATGGATATGTACACATATACATAAATACAGGTCCCCATGGAGGCCAGAAAATGTTAGCAGATCACCTGGAACTGTACTTAAAGGCAGTTGTAAGCATCTTAATGTGGATGGTGGGAACCAAACTCAGATCCTCAGCAAGAGCAGGAGATGCTCTTAACCGTTGGGCTGTCTCTCTAGTCCTCCCCTATCGCTTTCAATATAAAAGAAATCATGTGCATCAATTGAAACTTAATTGTTCTAACTTCTGTGATCAACTTTGGAGTATTCATTTTTTAAGTTATATCATTTATGACTGCATTTAAGTATAATTCCATATTTAATAAGTATTAAGAAGGAAATGCTAGATCAGGAAGATGGCTTAATAGGCAAAATGCTTGCTGTATGAGCATAAACTTGAGTTTTAATCCCCAGCACCCCTGTAAAAGCAGACAGTGACTCTTAGACTCTTGTCTCTAACCCCAGACACTGGAAAGGTAGATGCCGGGCACTTCCTGTCAGTTATTCTAACCAAAACAAGAGGTTTAGGTTCAGTAAGAGACCCTGTCTCAAAAGAATGGAGAGGCCAATGCTGGCCTCTGACTTCCACATACACACACATAGATACACAGAATAAAAGGGGGGGGCTATCTATTAGTGAAATTGATGTAGAAAGGCTATGTGGTCTTGATTGGTCAAGACTTCCCTAACATTAATATGTTGAATTGTGGGCTTTTTTTGTCCAGTGTTCCTGAGTCTTTTCCAAGCTGCACGTACACAATAGAACATTTGTGGCTAGGAGCATGAATGCTTTTTCATTGCAAAGCAGGGGGAGGTGACGTCATAGAGGGAGTGGGAAAGAGCAACTGGCAATATACCCAAGCACAGGTACATTTTCCAGTGGGTGAAATTTGTTCATTGGTTTTAGACATCTTTAATTGTCCTAAAACTATTCATGCTAGCCCAACATGATGGCTCTGGTATCACAAGAGATCCCTAAACCTTCCTAAATCCCCTGCCTTCCTAAAACACACATCTAATAAAGTTTATAGACAGAGTTTGCTTCGAGTGCAGAGATTCCAAAAGCTACCCAGGCACCAGAATCCTGTTTTTCAATTCAGGATGAGCATACCTATTCCCAGAAGTATCACAAACTCAACACTATGCCTCCTCCCCTAGCAGAAAACTTGAGTAAAAGTATTCCAGATTTCACTGCTGTCTTTTGCTTTATTAATAGTGTTAATATAACTAGAAAGTGACAGAAAAATCAAAGAACCATGAGTTAAACATTTTCCTACTTTCATTTATAATAACTTTCAGTAAATTGGCTATCTTGTGATAGCTTATGGTACTATACTAGAAGTCAAATGTTTGTCTTCAGTTGTCCTAATGACTCTTTGATGCCTTAGCACCCAAAACAGAAAGGTCTTGAGTCCTAAGATGTGAAAGGACCCAGCCCTCTTGGAAGACTTTAAGCGCCAGGGACCGAGGCGGCAGCAGGAACCATCTCACGATTTTTCCTTTCCCCTCATTTCAGAAAGATGATCCTGATGATTCCCCAATAGAACTCAGCAAAGTACAGAGTGTGAAGGCTGTGGCTAAGAAACGCCGGGACCGCTCTCTCCCCCGGGCTTTTGAAATCTTCACAGACAATAAGACCTATGTTTTCAAAGCCAAGGACGAAAAGAATGCAGAAGAGTGGCTGCAGTGCATCAACGTGGCGCTTGCCCAGGCAAAAGAGAGGGAAAGTAGAGAAGTGACCACGTATCTGTAGACACACGGACACCACCTCCTATGACCACGCATGATAGGCATTGGCAATGCCAAGGAAAAGAGAAACCCACCGTGGCATACTGGGTTTCACTGAAAAACCAATGAAACCATTATCTGAAAGAAGGAGGGCCTAGGAGCTGGAGTGATGGCTCAGTGGTTGGGAGCATCGGCTGCTCTTCCCAGAGGACCCAGGTTCAATTCCCAGCACCACGTGTTCCCCAAAGCTGTCTGAAACTGCAGTTCCAGGGCATCTGACATCTTCACACCAATGCATACAAAATAAAGTTTGATGAGTTTTTTTTAAGGAGGTCCTAAAATGACAGGGTTCTCAGTAAACCCCACGCCCTCACAACTCTTGTATTAGCTACAAGATCTCTTCCTAAAGTACATGAGAAAAAGAAGCCATAGAGTTCATACTGGAACATGTAGAGGGCTAGGAAGGGACAGTTATGAATGAAGTAACATCTGTGACTATGTTATTTAAGACTGTCAAAACATTAAATGGGACCAGTGAGTGAGAAAGCTCAGCAGGTGGAAGACATTTGCTGCCAAGCCTCATGGCCTGAGTTCTAGCTCCATAACTGACCTAGTAGAAGGAAAGAACCAACTCCTGGGAATTATCATCTGCTCTCCACATAGCATGGCACATACCCCAGATAGATAGATAGATAGATAGATAGATAGATAGATAGATAGATAGATAGATGGAATTTTAGAAACAGATGCTTGACAGATCTACCTTGAAGGAAAACTATTACATTAAAAACATATTTTTTAAACAACTATTAGGAAAAGTTGAACCATTATACACTGAAGAAAACCAATAAATTTAAGCTGGGCAGTAGGAGCACATGCCTTTAATCCCAGCACTCAGGAGGCAGAGGCAGGAGGTTCTCTGAGTTTAAGGCCAGCATGATCTACTAAGTGACTCCCAGGACAGCCAGGGAGGACTACATGGAGAAACCCTGCCTTGAAAAACAAAAAGCATTAACTTTAATGCATTGGTTACCTTTCCGGTGCTGTGATAAAATGCTCTGAGAAGAGCCACTTAGGGGAAAAAGGATTTGTTTTGGTGTGAGGTCCCAGAGGCACAGAGTCTATCGTAGCAGGGAGTGCATGGCGGCAGGAACAAGAAGCTAGCTGACCAACTAGGGACCAAGCATTCAAATATGTGAGCCTATGGGGGTTATTTACTATTTAAATTGCCACGTTTTATTTCTCTTCTCAATACAAAAAAAATTCTAACACATAATTGTTGTAGGAGACAGCTTGTTGGTTCCTGGCTGCTCAGCCCTGAAATAATCACACAGAAACTATATTATTTAAAACACTGCTTAGCCCATTAGCTCTAGCTTTTTATTGGCAAGCTCTTACTTATTAATTTAACCCATCCTCATTAATCTGTGTATCACCATGTGGCTGTGGCTTACCGGCTAAAGTTTCAGCATGTCTATCTCTGGCGGGGCTACATGGCTTCTCCCTGACTCCGCCCTTTTTTCCTTCCAGCATTCAGTTTCGTTTTCCCCACCCAGCTCTCTTCCCCTATAGCTCTGCTATAGGCCCTAACCAGTTTCTTTATTAGCCAATGATGTTCACAGCATACAGAGGAGAATCCCACATCACATAATATGATGATTGTTAATCTGATTGTGTAATTAAATTTAGGCTCTAATTAGAGCATAGCTGAATTTTCATGTTTAGACACACAGTTATATCTACTGTCCAGGCAGTACGTATAGATAGAATAAGCATGGAAAAATACCTTTCTGATGTGCATCACCTCCCTTAAACCTGAAGGTTTTTAATTAAAATTCTAAGCTTTTCTTCTCTGTAGTAAGCCTTGTATTGTCCAAACTATAAGCATGTATTGTTTTTTGCCATTATCCAGATATAATTTTAAATTAAGCCATCATAGGCAGCTTAGATAACTTCCAGTGGTCCAGGCCCTGGAAAAATGTTCTACCCCTTGAGTGGTAGAGTGTGGGGCCTGAAGCTTGCTTGGACAAATGTAGTAGTATAGTCTCTTTTACAATTGTGTTACCTTACAACAGACCTCTGACCCTGAGATAATACAGAGCCTCTCAGGATGTAGCCCACCACCACTGTAGCGGCAGCCATGACATATGTACTCTCTAGCCCAACCACCACCTGATGTCAGTCATGACATACTCTGATCAGAGGTACCAAGATGGACACGTGTCCCACAGAGACTGCGCCATAATAACTCTATTCTGCTTTAAATGCAAACCATGTGGTGATTTGTTAGGCACTGATTAATTCATATAAAACCCTCCTGGTAATATATCAAAGATAACTTTTTTCTGTAAAGATGATTTATTATGTATTTTAGTATAGAAGCCTGGAAAAATCCTTAAGTTGTCACCACACTGATACTACTGTTAACTCATGGGCATAAGAAATATTAAAGGTGTCATACTTGAGCAAAGAAACTCAATTCAATTTTACCATGTAAAGTTTGAGGAGATTATGGGCCACAGGAGTTATTACACATTGGAAATAGAGTTCAAGAGGTCAAAATTTGGGTCCACTGTATATGTAGGAAATTGTGAAAGATGTGGAATTGGCTGAAATTACTGAAGGAGAATAAGAAATGGAAGAATTGATGAGGACCTCTTGGGGTACCAATATCTAAAATTGATGAGGACCTCTTAAGGTGCTATTGATGAGGACCTCTTGGAGTACCAATATCTAGAATTGATGAGGGCCTCTTGGGGTACCAATATCTAGATTGATAAGGACCTCTTGGGATACCAATATCTAGACTATGAGGACCTCTTGAGGTACCAATATCTAGGCAGAAATAAGGTTGTAGCTGATCAGTATTCAAAGATGATGTTGCCCAGGAGACATGCTATTACAAAAGCTAAATTAAGGATTTTCAGGATGTCAACAATTTGAAGACATGAAGATAAAGCTTGACTTTTGTAATCAGGAAGGAATTGATGTCACTGGGAAGAACGATTTCATTTGAATGATGGAGTAAAAGTTAACTTTCAATGTGTTATAGTAATTGACTGTCATATTTCAATTTTTTCAAAGGGTGAAGTTAAGGTGAAAGAGCACGGATTGATAAATGATTTCTTATTTTGTTTGTAGGTGAAGTCATCATAAGAGGGAAAACAGTTTAATAAATATAGACAAGAGTAAAGTTACTAGATGTAATAGAGAACAGTTTTTCAAGTTGTGCATCGAGGCGCCAAGGAAATGTCTTAGCCATAAGCGAGCTTGCCTACAATCATAAGCTGCTGAAGTCAAATCCCCAATTCCCAGCGCATAAATCAAAAGCCCAGCATGGCTTTGCAGACCTGTAACCCTGTTCTGGGAGTTGAAGACAAGAGAGTTCTAGGGGCTCCTTGGCCTGCCAGTCCAGCTGAAATGGTGAGTTTCTGGCTCAGTGACCAACCCTGTATGGTGGTTTGAATGAAACTGACCCATATAGATGTATATATTTGACTACATGGTTCCCAGTTGGTGGAACTACTCTGGAAGGATTAGGAGTTGTAGCCTTGTTGGAGGAGGTGTGTCACTGGAAGTGGGCTTTGAGGTTTCAAAAGCCCATGCCATTCCAAGTTGACCCCCTCATACTCTGCCACATGGTTGTTGTCACAAGACATGAGCTCTCAACTACTGCTCCAGCACCATGCCTGACTGCTGCCATGCTCCCTGCCATGATGGAAGCATATTCACCCTCTGGAACTGAAAGTCCCTGATAAACTCGTCTATAGCTGCCTTAGTCTTGGGTGCTTGGTCACAGCAATAGAGAAGTGACTAAGACCTGTCTCAAGGCAGAACGACAGAGAGCTGTGGAAGAATTTAGCTGACATCCTGCTCTAACCCCACACTCATGAGCCCTCAGATAATCACATGCATGTGCCATACACATGAAACACACAGACACAGGCACACATGCACAGTCTGTATTAAGCAGCAGTTTTATGAGTAACTGTTAAACAACAGGGATCATACATTGCCTGAAGATTCCAAGATAACAAGACAACCACTCTTGTCCCCCCACAGCCATCAGCTAGAATTTTATTGACAACAGAAACATACACACAGAGTAAAGCACATGAAGAGACTGACTCCCCCATTGGAGGAATTCATAGTTGTGTTTTCTGGTGTGTTTAAAATCAATTACAGTGGGGTAGGGGCTATTTCTTTTTCCAAGAAGTTTAACGTATAGTGAACGAGACAGACACATACAACGAAAGTTCACATGCTTTATGTCTAGTACCTTGATGAAGCTGTGCACACAGTCTTACAGCAACAGAAGAAATGATGCCATATTAATGCACTCCCTCATGTTTCGCTGAGAGCAAAATAACAGGAGAGGGAGCAGCCCTGCAAATGTAAAGGGGCTCACAGTCCCTTCCAGAGATGGAGATTCTTAAGATGGTGTAGCACCATTACAAGATGTTAAGCAGATCCACATTTAGAAAGATAGCCTTTATAGTAGTACAGTTCATGGAATACAGATCAGAAATTGGAGGGAAGTCTGTAGGACATGCTAGCCCAGGGGCAGAGTGCATTCCTAGTATGCATAGAGAGCTAGGTTCAATCCCCCAAACTGCATATAT